TGTTGATCGTGCACTTGTAGTCAGCGCAGATTCTCACCGACCCATCTGGCTTGACAGGCGTGACGATGGGGGTTTCCCACTTTGCGTGGTCAACCGGCTCCAAAACTCCTTGGGCAATCAGTTTGTCCAGTTGTTCGTCCACCTTAGCCTTGAGAGCAAAGGGAACCCGGCGTGGCTTTAGCTTGATGGGGCGACTTGTGGATCAAGGCTAAAGGAGATGGGCGTACCTGTATATTGGCCCAAGGTGCCGTCAAAAACCTCGGCAAAGTCTTTGACCCAGACCCTCAGTCTCTGCGTTAGAGATGCAGTTGATGCCGGTGACTTCCAGGCCGAGGGCATCAAACCAGTCTAGCCCTAGGAGGCTTGGCCGCTGACCTTCGACCACCACCAAACCGGAGCAGGCCCGAAAAATCCTTGAAAGCGATCCGGAACCGGCCAACGCCTACCACGGGAATGTCGTTTCCCTGGTAGTCTCTCAGGTGTACGCGGTGAGAGTCGAGTTGCCTTTTGGACACTCTGGGTACCAGTCTTTTGATGGTGCTCCATGACACGATGGACAGGGCAGACCCGGTGTCGATCTCCATGTCACATGGAGCTCCTTCAATGAGCACCGTGACGTTCAGCTTGCGTCGCGTAGGCGAGTCGGTTTGGCCAATCGTGGTTCCAGACGGGCAGCGGCAGTTGGTGAGAGCGAAACAACTTTCCTTGGCAGACTGGAGTGAAGACTTGGACTTGCGAGTCGATGAAGGGGGGTGTCAGACGGAGCCGATCGGCAGACCTTAGCGATGTGGCCCCTTCTGGAACACTTCCTACAGATGGCGTCTCTGAATCGACACTTGGCACGGGAATGGTTGCCTCCGCAGCCAGCACATTCCGGTTGGCCCTTGGACTTCTGTTGGAACTTCCTGTGCTCCCGCTTTGTCTGGTGCACGTCATCGTCTTCACTGGAGGATGCCTCATCACTGCTGGCCTCTTCATGATGCACCGGAACTGGCTCCCTAGCAAGACGCGGGCTGCTGGACTTGCGGATCTCCTGGGCGGAGCGTTCAGCAGCTTCTGAGGCCACAGCCTCCTCAATGGCTTTCTGTAGCGTGAGGTCTGGCTTGGCTAGGAGGCGCCGTTGCAGATGGATGTCCCGGACCCCGCAGACGATTCGATCCATCAGGGCATCGTCTAAGTCTCGGAACTCACAGTGCATTGCAGCCTGTCGCAGGGCGGTGGTGTAGTTGTTGATTGACTCCCCCTCTGCCTGGTTCCGGTGGTAGAACGCATGGCGGGCAGCAATCTTGGACGGCTTTGGTGCGTAGTGGTTGCGGAGCTTCTCTTGGATCGTGTCCCATGGTGTTGCCTGGACTGCTTCAGGCGCAACCAACGCTCGGGCCGTCTCAAACACCTCAGGCCCACAGAGGCTGAGGAATAGGCCCCGCTTCCGATCCTTTGATACTGCTGTCAGCTCGTTGGCTTGGAGGTAGCAGTCGAACCGAGCGAGGTAGGAGTCCCATGATTCAGAGGCTGGCGCAAACGGCGGTAGAGGCACAAGTGAAGCCATGATTCCGATGCCGGCGTGAAGGGCGATGGATGGAACACAGTGCTCTAGCCAGAACAGTCAGCTCTGAATTGGTTCTGCCCAGTGATTCCGCTCAGTGATTTCGCTCTGTGATTCAGCTCAGTGATTCAGCTCAGTTCAGAGGCTGGCCGCATCTGGCTGTGCTCTGATGTCCATCCATCCCATCCTCGTCGCCAGTGTTAAGTCGTGGGTTGACATAGCAGCCGGCACAGCGATTTCTTCAAGTAGCTCTTTATTATGGTAAGCTGGAATAGAACTGACTGCGAACAGCTCAGCCGGCCTGTATTTATAGGCAGCCGGCTGTCAACATTGTAACCACAACAGCCCAGAGTTCCCGCCTAAAATAACTGCCGCGGACCTGAGTGAAAACTATCTACAGACCTGAGTGAAAACTATATACAGTATCCCCCTGTTGGCCCAGGGTGAAACTACACTACATAACAGCTTGTAAATGTCAAACTCCTCTTTTAGGAAGACTTAAAAAAAAAAAAGCACCACCATGAATGAGAACTCTTTTTTTTTTTTTTTTTTACCCTGCATGGTGGTTTGGCTGTTTAGGTCTGTGGTTTTGAGAAAAGAAAAAGTGTGCCTTACAGCACAAAAACATACATATTTCTGTGTGAGTGGGTGTGTTTATTTATTTAATATATATATTATTGTTATTTAATATATATATTTCCTGTGCTACATCCTACTTCATCAGAAATATAAATAAATGTAGGGATTGGCTGAGCAACCAATTCCATTCCATTCTGGTCTCGCTGTCACTCAGCCATAGGCCTGTTCAAACCCATTGTATGCATTTTGTACACATCTTATGAACACTTCTAGCATGAAATCCAAACTTTCCAGTGCTTTCACCAGTAAAACGTGCATTTTCTATACACCTTCCACATCTTTTAAGTTCTTATTCACCCCCAAAATGCACTGCAATATCCTGAGAAGGGCATAATCTGACTTGGAGTTGCGTTCTAATCCACAAATGCATTTGAGAGCATCAGTTCAGGTCAGGTCCACTGTGAAAATCGGACCAAGCAAGTTCTCCCTTATCCCTAGGGATACACTTGTGTCGTGCATTTTTATTCTTAGAACACCACCGTGTGGCCAACTTTGAATATGCAAGGGTTCTTTTAATTGTGTGCTGGTTAAGAAAGATCTCATTTTACTGCTGATGCAGATGTTACTGTGGTCTGCTATCTACCCTCATTTTTCATTTATGGAAAAGGTTTGCTCCTGCCACCAACTTGCAGTGCAATTGTACTCATTTCTACTCTGAAAAAAGTACTGTTGAGTTCAATGTGACTTATTGCAATGTGAGTGTATATAGGCCTGCAAATAAGGCTCCACCTGTACTATACATTTAAAGCAGTATCACACCACTTTAAGCAGGCATTTTAGCACAAATTTCTCCCAAACAAACCTGTGTGCACAATCATTTTCTCCTAATGCAATGCATCTTTGTATGTTACTTTCAATAGCATCTTCATTTTTATGCACGTTTTCTCCTAAAATCTGCATTTTCATAAACATTGTTTTGTTGGCAAATTGCGTTGCAAAATTTGAATAAGTGTGAATTATTTTGAAGGATGGCTCGACTGCGTTTTGGTTCTCATATCATTTTAGAAAGTGCTGGTTTGATGCATGTGGTTTTAAAATCATCAAATCAAATTTCTCCCCCATCTCAAGGAGTGTCAGAATGAAACCTGGAGCTGCGTTGCAGCCCAGGACTGTGCAATATGCAGGGACATCTCTGTTGTGACTGATTACTGATGTGGTTCTCCCTGATGTTCTTTGTAGAACATGACAGCCCAGAGCAAGCACCACGTCCAAGTCCACTGGACATTTAATGACAAATCGTCAGATCTCCTGCAGTGGCTGACGGTGACCAAGCAGAAGCTGGAGTCCTATCAGGATGGCAATGGAGGGTGGAAAACGAACAACAGGGCTTTGGACTTGGAGGTGAGGAACATTTATTTCCTTGTGATGTCATGACCATGCTGTGCAGGTGACAAATCCGCCTGCCCCCACCTGGTGTCCTCCAGGTGTTTCTGACTACAACTCCCATCAGCCCTAGCCAGCATGGCAAATGGTCATGGGTGGAGAAAATTGTAGTCCATCGACATCTGGAGGACCACAGTTCCCTATCCTTGGTTTAGAATGAAGGTGAGGAACCTCAGGCACAGGGCCTAATGTGGCCCTCCAAGCTTCTCAGTCTGGCCCTTGGGACTGCCTCCAGATCACATCCCTTCCTCGGTCACTCTTGCCAAGCCACACTTCTCACCAGCCCTTGCTCTGTGCCCTTCTCAAGGGATAAAGGCTCTCGCTTGCCTGGAGGAAAGGGTGGAGAAGTGTGAATGTGTGTGCAGAAGCCCTTGACTTTTGCATGACTGAAACGTAACCTGCTGTACAAAACAAAGAATTACATCCATTGACCGACACCCACCTTTGCCTCTGGCTGGCATTTCCAACCAACCTTGCACCCCTAAAATGTTGCCCTCAAGGAAATGCAGCTGAAAGGGATTCCCCATCCCAGGTGCAGATGGATCTGTGGCTGATCTAGCAGGGGGTCCTCTTCTGTTTCCATTTACAAAAGCATCACCTGTGCATAGACTATTAGCATCCATCTGTTGGAGAGTTACAGCGTCTGCTGTACCTGTAGAGACTGATTCTGGAGAGACATGTTTTGTTGCAGCTGGGGCAGATGAAGGCATCCAGTTGTGCTGCTGCAGATGCACCATGGCGTTTTTTCTCTCTGTGCTCCTCCCAGTGGCAATTCCTCCTCTGTTCACTGCTATGGATGCACAGCCTATCTGTCTGTTTCATGGCACTGCGGTCATCTACAAGGATTCCCATAGGGTGGGGTTAATGTTGCCAGCCTTCATGCCACGTTTGCAGACATCTTTGTAACGCAGAGCTGGTCTACCACTGGGCCTAGTGCTGGAAGCCAGCTCCCCATAGAGCACATCCTTGGGGATCCTGCCATCTTCCATTCTGTGGACATGACCAAGCCAGCGTAGATGTTGCTGAGACAGGAGTGCAGAATGTGGGCTTGGGAGACCATGCCTTTGTTTGAGACTCTTTCCTGCTATGTGGTGCCCCAAATATTCCTGACACAGTGCATATGGAAGGCGTGGAGGCACCGCTCCTGGTGGGTGTAAGTTGCCCGCAACTCACTTCCATAAAGCAGCATGCTCAAGATGCAAGCCTAGTAGATCAGTGTTTCCCAACCTTTTTTGGGCAAAGGCACACTTGTTTCATGAAAAAAATCTCGAGGCACACCACCATGCCAGATGGGGAAAGGTCACTTTTTACTTATGTAAAAAAATAAATAAAAAAAAATAGTAACAGCATAGAAGGTAATGGTTAGGCTAGCATCCCTCTTCCAAATATGCTAGGTTTTTATTTGCAGGGACTGTTCTACATGGGAAAGCATTCAGCACTGTCATTCTCCCATCTGCCATCTGAATTGGTACTATTCTGGGTCAACTTACTCTGCTGCATGTGTAGATGAAAATGGCACCAAGTGTGGGGGGGTTTGGCCCTCTCTGAAGTGCTTCTCTGCAAGATATGGTAGGATGTGTTACACAAGTAAACACTTGCAGGGTATGATAAAGAGAGCATTCCAAGAGTGACTTGGGATGCTATGAAGATGCTGCAAAAGTGGGCATGTGATTATTGCACGCCTTAAGCTAATGCTGAATACCCAAGAGTGTACAACTGGACTGCTGAATCCTAACTGGGTGTACTGAAAAGATGCTGGATGAGACCCAGACCAATAGTACCTGCAAAAGCAGCGTTATTAAAAGCAGCTTTCCCTTTGAACATCTCTTTGTTCAAAGTGCATCTGAAAGCCTAATGACCCACTGGTTCCTTAGGAGTGAGCTTTAATGCAAGGATTTTGATGTTAATCCATGGATCAGATGTGTGTGTGTGGATAATCGCATTGTTGGACAGTCCTTTCTGCCTGTTGGCCGTTAGCCAACGACCCCCTCCTCCGCCTGAATGAAATGTGCCCCGTGGGAGCGTTGGGACATCAGAACCACGAGTTATAGTTATCAGGGGCGCCGACTTATAAAAAATATTGGGGGGGCCCATACCGGGGTCCTGCCGCTGGTTCGCTCGGGTAGCCGGGAGAACACAGTTCAAGGTGGCGGTGTTGGGGAGAGACCCTCGCTCAGGGCGCCACGAGACTTGGCGGCCGGCGGCCTATCTGGGGGGTTTTGGAGCATATTTCGGCGGAGCGATTGGGGAGGAGGGGGCTTGTTGCCGGATTCTTCAGCTGGGCCGGAGATCCGCTGCTGGGGGTCCCTGGGCCGAGTTGTGAGCACGGCCTGCTGAAGGGAGATCCAGCCGATTGCGCGGCGGGGACGGCCGGGGCTCTCCGGCTAGGGCGCACGGCTGGCTGGCTGGCGAGGGAGCAGGTGGGGAGGATGCGGGGGTCCTCACTCTCTTAGGAAACGCACCCGCGCGCCCGATTGCCACGAAGTCCGAAGGGTGCGTGTGTGGAATTAAAAAGCAAAAACGAGATACGGGCAGGGCAGGCAAAGAGTTTTCCGCAAGAGGATGGAGGGCAGGTTGAAGAGAAAATCACTCAGGATGAGACAGTCAAATCAGCCATGATAAAATGGGCTCAGGATATTGGGTATAACATCATGTTTGAGGACTGGGAAAGGTTATGGACCACCGGAATGAAATTCACGGCATGTAATGCCTTGAAGGAAAATATTATGAAAATGATTTATAGGTGGTACATGACCCCAGTCAAGCTTGCAAAAATATATCACCTGTCTGATAATAAATGTTGGAAATGTAAGGAGGCTGAAGGGACATTCTTTCACCTCTGGTGGACTTGTCCAAAAGTGAAGGCCTTCTGGGAAATGATCTATAATGAGTTAAAAAAGGTATTTAAGTATACCTTTCCCAAGAAACCAGAGGCCTTCCTCTTGGGCATTGTTGGCCAGAAAGTGTTAAAGAAGGATAGAACTTTCTTTATGTATGCAACTACAGCAGCAAGAATACTTATCGCAAAATATTGGAAGACACAAGATTTGCCCACACTGGAAGAGTGGCAGACGCAATTGATGGACTACATGGAACTGGCTGAAATGACTGGCAGAATCCGAGATTTGGGAGAAGAAACAACGGAAGAGGACTGGAAAAAATTTAAGGACTATTTCCAAAAGCAATATAAGTTGTATGAATGTTAAAAATTTACACAATTCGGAAACTATAGCTTCAGCAATTAGATTTGGGAAACAGGAAATTATATTTTAAGTAAGAAAAGGTCAAAATCTAAGGTAATACTATGTTTAATTTAAGATATAAGTAACTGATGAAAAGTATGTTAAATTTAGAGGTATAGTATTTGAAAAGTACAAAATAAGGTACGAAACAAGGTAATAATTTGCTGATATCTTTATTATAAAGAATGCAGGGTAAGGGAGATGCGAGGAAGTCCATTCAGTTATATAAAAAATGTGTTGAATGGTTGGTTTTCTTTTCTTCTTTTTCTTTTTTCTTTTTCTTGTTCTTTTACTTTTTTCTTCAGTGTATGTTTCTAACTTTGTATTTGAAAACTTAATAAAATATTTATATATATAAAAAAGGGGAAATCCTTTCGCTTTTCTGGGGTGCAGGGAAGTCTCAGAGCCGGAGGTTGGGGAAGGGACCCCCTTTGCTCTGCCCTCTTCTCCCGTCTTAGATTCGCATGGGGGTCCCCGCCCGAGCTTGCCTGGCCACCGGGCCACACAAGGGCCGCGCTCTACGCGGCGCACCTTGCTAGCCGCGCAGCTGCGGAGCGGCCCTGCGCCGGTGCCCAGCCCCTCTGGGCGCCCGCTGCGCTGCCAATGACAAGCGGGCGACGTCGCGGGCAGGGAAGGCGTCGCTTTCTTTCCCGATCCTTCATCCTCCCAGTCTTCCAGCCCTTTTTTGGGTTGGAAGCTCGTCTCGTTCGCCCTTCTCCTTTCTTCACCCTGCGTGCAATTTTCCTCCCTCGTCTCCCTCCCCATTTCTCCTTCCTTCCTTCCTTCCTTCCTTCCTGACTGACGGGCTCGGGCTTCGGCTCGGGCTCGGGCAGCCACAGCGTCGGCGGTGTTGGCGATCGGCGGCGCGGGGGGATGGCCCTCCCGGGGGAGCCGGCGCTGCTCAATGGGGTTGCCAAGGAGACAGGCCGGCCGCCCCCTCCCCCGGCCCGGCGCCCCCCGCCGCGCCGGTGCCCGTTATCGAGCTGGTGCGCGCCGGGCGCCCTATAAAAGCCGCGGACGCGCCAAGCTCCCTCTCCCGCCGCGCAGGAGCGATGCCTCTCTCTGGCTCTCCCTCCGCGCAGGCTGAGGGAGGGAGGGAGTGGCGCGTGTGACCCGTCTCTGCTGGGAGACCAAACCCAGCGAGGCAGAGTCGCGCGGAGGCGCCCAGGCAGCGCTGCCGGCTGCGAGGAGGAGCGCCAGGCAGCAGCAGGAGGCGCGGCCTCTCCTCGCCGCCGCCGCCCCGCCTCTCGCCGCCGACTCGCCCGCCTCCCTCCAGGCAACATCTCGCGGCACACCAGGCAACGTCTGGCGGCACACTAGTGTGCCGCGGAACACCGGTTGGGAAACACTGTAGTAGATCTTCATCTTGGTGTTGGACATTAGCATCACATTCTCCCACACCCTTTTGGAGAGGCAAGCAATTGCTGCAGCTGCCTTGCCAATATGCTTGTCCGGCTCAGCGTTGATGGAGAGATACTTTGGTGGCATCTACATTATTCTGCGTGTTGTGCCCTGTGCCTTTCAGAGGCTGCAAAGTGAGTTTCCAGACAGAGAGATTCAGCTGCACCTCACTGAAGCCCACGGGCAGCTGGTGGCAGAAAACTCTTCGTTGGAAGGTGCTGAGAACATCCGAACCAAAGTGAAGAGGCTAAAGGAATCTTTCGAGTCTCTCGAAGGCATGATATCAAGGTAGGCGGATAGGCAGCTGTGATGTTCTGCACTCCAAGTTGGCTGGCACAGAGGGTGGACAGAGTGAAAGGGCAGGCAAAGCCATGGTTGCATTATTAGCTCCCATTTCCTCAATGGTTTGAAAGGTCTGTGTAGCTCGTGGGCTTCCAAGAGGCAGATGCTTTCTTAGTGTGATAACAGAGTGCTAGACCAAATAGGTCTTTGGGCTGATCTAGCAAGGCTCTTCTTATGCCCTTAGGTAGCATTTCCAGTTTGGGACCTGCCGATCCTCATTTGGCAATGTCGTTCAGCCTTGCAAATAAGCCCACTAAAGTTAAAGGTAAAGGTAAAGGTACCCCTGCCCGTACGGGCCAGTCTTGACAGACTCTGGGGTTGTGTGCCCATCTCACTCAAGAGGCCGGGGGCCAGCGCTGTCCGGAGACACTTCCGGGTCACGTGGCCAGCGTGACAAGCTGCATCTGGCGAGCCAGCGCAGCACATGGAACACCGTTTACCTTCCCGCTGGTAAGCGGTCCCTATTTATCTACTTGCACCCGAAGGTGCTTTCGAACTGCTAGGTTGGCAGGCGCTAGGACCGAGCAGCGGGAGCGCACCCCGCCGCGGGGATTCGAACCACCGACCTTTCGATCGGCAAGTCCTAGGCGCTGAGGCTTTAACCCACAGCGCCACCCGCGTCCCTGTCCACTAAAGTTACTAGCCTGTAAAAGTTGCTGGCTGTGGCAGAGGCTTCCCTCCTCTGTCGGTTGGCTCAGTTTCTTTTTCTAGTTACAGAGGAGCAATGGAGAACTCTGTTCCTCCTCCACCAGCCTGTTCATTCACCTGCCGGCAATGGCATGTTGCCCATGGCTACTCAGCAAGTGCTTAAGTAACAGTTCTGATATAGACACGGCACAGGAAGCAGCAGGCAGAGTGGCTTCCTTTCTGAGTAACTGCTGCATGAAAGCTCCAAAATGCTGCAGCAGTGGTTCCAGTGTGGTTAAACTGTTTATCTAAATGCATCCCACAGTTTATAAAGCTGTATCCTGGTAACAAAGGAACCCGGCAGCGTTTGTGCTCTATGGAAGTCTACAAGCAGGAACCAGTTCTCTTCCAATAGGCCCTTTTTATTTTCCTAAGTAGAGAGACGTTTCTGTTTTCATAAGGTACATTTAAAGTACATTTTCCCACACTCCCACAAATCTTAGGAACTGTAGTTTTCCCCTCACAGAGCTACAATTCCCAGGGTTCTTTGGCTCGGGGGAAAGTATGCTTTAAATATATTACTGGTATGTTTTTATATATGTTGGAAGCCACCCAAAGTTTCTGGGGCAGGGCACAAATTATTATTATCATTATTATTGTTAACAGTGCTTTTTCCTGGGGGGACGCAGGGGTACACATACCCCTAAACATTTTGTGAATCTAAGTTTGGCCTCATTGAGGGGCAGTATTTCAATGAGTAGGAAAATGAGAGTACCCCTACATTTTTTTTTTTAGAAAAAAGCACTGATTATTATTATTAATGCATAGTGTGTACATAGCCATAAACTTAAATGATCTTCCCACACTTAACCCTTTTCTGTGTGTGTGTTTCTGCTCCAATATTTAATCACTTAAGCTCCAATAATTAAGCGTTACTTTTTAGATCTTTCCCAATGCAGCTGAATAATACCATCTAAGTCTTTATGAATCACTGTGGAGTTCTGGGAATTTGAGCTTTCGCCCCCTTTCCTTTATCCATAACTTTCCTGGCAAGTTGTATGCTTTTCTCCTTTGCCCAGACTTCCACCCCCCCCCCACTTTCCAATCTAAGTAGCTCTTTCTTTCCCCACCTCCTGAGCCTGTCAGGTTTCCTCATCAGTTCAGAAACCAGCCGCGGATTGTAACCGTTTCCTAATCACAGCTAGGAGCGCTCTGCTAGAACAATCCCCTGGAAAGTAACGATCCATTTAAAAAGTGGCCTTAAAACGGCAAGACCACGTCCAGGGAGAATGAATAAAACCCGCTGGCAGGAACTTGTCACGGTATCTTTTACATCTCTGCTTTGTCCCGTGATGCTGCTGTGCTTGTGCTGTTTGGGAGCTGGTGGTTCAGTTGCTAGAGAACGTCAGAGAAAGCTTATCCAAGCAAGGTCATCCATGAATCAAGATGAAGACAGGGATTTAATGCCTCACTCTTCTGGTTGTTCCCAGTGCAAGAATTTCTGCTTGCCAGACAGAATGGTCTCCCCCCTCTCCTCCCCCTGTGCACTCATCTCGGGGTTCTCCTATCCTTCTGGAGTGGATTGGGGGGGGTTCTAACTACCCTATAGGTAGGTAGGTAGTTTGGGACGCGGGCGGCACTGTGGGTTAAACCACAGAGCCTAGGACTTGCCAATCAGAAGGTTGGCGGTTTGAATCCCCATGACGGGGTGAGCTCCCATTGCTCGGTCCTTGTTCCTGCCAACCTAGCAGTTCGAAAGCACGCCAAAAAGTGCAAGTAGATAAATAGGTACTGCTCCGGCAGGAAGGTAAATGGCGTTTCCGTGCGCTGCTCTGGTTCGCCAGAAGCAGCTTAGTCATGCTGGCCACATGACCCAGAAGCTGTATGGCGGCTCCCTCAGCCAGTAATGTGAGATGAGCACCGCAACCCCAGAGTTGGTCATGACTGGACCTAATGGTCAGGGGTCCCTTTACCTTTTAACTACCCTATGCTCCTTCCATCCCTCCTCCTCATCTGATGGCTCCCTCAAAGACACCAGCTCAGGGCTCATGACAATATTGGCCACAGCTTCAACACACTATGTAGCCCATAGGAATCTTTAGTAAGCTTAACGGTTTAGTTGGTGGTCCCAGGATGAATAAGGGAGGCAGTGGAGTTTTAGAAATGTTACAAGCCTTAGCTTAACTATCTCTCCTCTCCCCTCCCCTTCTTCGGTTTGACCATAGTCTCCTCCAGAAAATCTACCCAAACAGGACAACCGTAGATGCTGGCAAGAAAACAAACTTTTCAGCCAACCTGTCATCCCATGGTTTTGCCATTCGCTCTACAGAAGATCTCAACCACTCCTGGGTGAGAAAAGCATTTTACTCACCTTTTTGCTATGACTTAAGTTTTGTGCAACAGAGCTGACGAAGGAACGGGTCTGAGCCTCTGTACTAATTTCATGGCTGGGGTCATAAAGGTGAGAACCTGTTTCAGCCAGAGCACGGTGTTCCCTTTATTTCCCTCGCTTCTCCAGACACTAGGTCAGGGTTTCTCAAACTTGGGTCTCCAGCTGCTGTTGGACTACAATTCCCATCATCCCTAACCACTAGTCCTGCTAGCTAGGGATGATGGGAGTTGTAGTCCAAAATCTGCTGGAGACCCAAGATTGGGAAACCCTGCTATAGTTCTCACCAACTTCTGAGGGTGGAAATCAGATTGGCTCAGACTTGCCGTTGTCAGGAAGTGCATTGTAGATTTGTACCTGTGTAAGATGCTAAATATCTCCGTTCAGTGTATGCAATATGAACTGGGCTCTTCTGTCTGTTATTTTTGCTATGCCCAACTAGTGCTTGGTAGGGAGAATGGTGTGTGTGTGTGTGTTTCACAAACTCAGATCTACCACAAAAGCTGTTCTGGTGCACCCCCTAAGCTGGCCTGTTTGCTCGCAGTTACAGTGGCAGATGCTGTCCGGTTGCCAGTGTGGAATTGATATTTAGCTGCCAGCGCAAAGCTCTTCTCTTTTGCATTGTACTGTGAACATAGGAAGCTGCCTTAATTTGAGTCAGTCCATTGGTCCATTGAGCTCAGTAATGTCCACACTGACCGACAGCAGCTTTCCAGGTTTCAGGTTGGAGTCTTCCCCAACAGTACCTGGAGATCCCTGGGACTGAACTTTCTGCAAACAAAGCAGCTGCTCTACCAGTGAACGTTGGCCCTTTTGCCAAGGAGGGAATACAAAGAGGTGGCTTTTCCTGTATGCAGTGGCTTAGCTCCAACACGATGGGTGCTGGAGCTCAAATCTAGTCTCATAAACTCCCAACTTCTACCTACCAGTCCTAACTGGGACAGGCAGCGGTTACTCAATAGGGGAGGAAATGTACTCTGCAGATGGCAATTGGCACACTCTTTTTTTTTATTGCCATTGCTTTACATGTTCCAGGACTGACCCCTGACATTGAAAATAGGTGGCAGGACAGAGTGTGCAGGTGCCGGGTCTGAATGTTGGAGAGAGCCCTGGTTCAAATTAAATCCTGATTTTGCAGCAGACCCCTTTTCTTCTTCTTTTTAAAAAAGAGGCCCGTGCTGCTTTGTTTTAATTCCGAGTGTGTTTTCTGCAGTTTACAACTCTTCGTTCAGCCATCAAACTTTTTAATAGGGAACCTGGGGCCATATTCACAGCGGGTGTAGCTTGTAACACTGACATGCAACCAAACGGCAAACACCTTGGGAACGGAGCCTGTTCTCGGCTCTGAAATGTTTTGAATGTGAAAAGCGCCGTCTTTTCCAGTACCTTAAAAGTCCTTCTTAGCGTCCTCCCTAAACTGGGGATCTACGTTCGTTTCAGAACGAATGAAATCAAATGGGACTGACTCTGTGTTCAGGGAAACATCATTGCAGATCAGAGAACTCCTTCCTGAGTTCTGCGTTCTGCTCCTTGGTGGTTCTCAATGGCAGCTGGTAGGAAAGCTTTCTGCCCACCAACAAGCATAAGAAGGACAACTCCTTGGCATTTCCTGCCCCCTTCAGAACCAAATTTCAATCTAACCTAACAGCAACTTTTGGGCACATTTATAACGGCAGCAGTGGGCTACCTTGTGGGTTGAGCAGAGAGGTTTAAGATCTTTCTGCCCAGTCCTGTGTCACAATAGGACTAATCCTCAAGGATCAACGGTGGGGGTTTCTCTGTTCATGTGGCCCCCAGAAGGCAAAAAAGGGCTAAAAAAAAGGGTTAGTCACTCCTGCTTTTTTCCCCACTCCACCAATCTAGTTTAAAAAATCAAATACAGTCATACCTCGGGTTGAATGCGCTTCAGGTTGAGCGCATTTGAGTTGTGCTCCATGGCAACCAGGAAGTAACGGAGTGCATTACTTCCAGGTTTTGCCGCTTGCGCATGCACATATGCTCAAAAAGACATCATGCGCAGAAGCGGTGAAAAGTGATGCGCAGACGTGCCATCACTAGTTACGTTTGCTTCTGGATACGAACGGGCTCCGGAACAGATCCCTTTCGTATCCAGAGGTACCACTGTAGTGTTCCAGTCTAGTTATTATTATTTATTATACAGTGGTACCTTGGTTGTCGAATGGCTCGACACCAGAACAAATTGGCTCCCGAATGCCGCAAACCCGGAAGTGTTCTGGTTTGCGGACATTTTTCGGAACCCAAACTTCCAACGTGGCTTCCGCTTGAGTGCAGGAAGCTCGTGCAGCCAATCGGAAGCTGTGCCTTGGTTTTCGAACGGTTTCGAGAGTCAAACAGACTCCCAGAACAGATTAAGTTCGAGAACCAAGGTACCACTGTATTTGAATGCCATCCTTCATCCATAGATCTCTGGATGATTTGCGTCATAAAAATGCAAGTTTGAAAACACAAAATACATAATAAAAGCAAACCAAAACAATAATATCACACCACCTCCCACAAACGCATTTAAAAGGATACAAGATGTTAGTCAGCCAAAGGCCTGGTTGAAGGGGAACGTTTTCGCCTGGCTCCTAAAGGTGTATAATGAAGGCACCAGGAGAAACTCCCTAGGAAGAACATTCCACAAATGGGATGACAGAAGACAAGATAAATGAATGATTTGTTTCATAGCTGACTCTGCTGGGCATGGGATACAACTATTCAATAACTCATGGGGGAAAGTGTATGCTCTTGTCTTCTACATTTGTGTCTTTTGCAATTGTTTCTGCAACTCAGGAGAACATGGCCAAAGAGGAAGATACTGATGATCTCCAGCTCATTAAGAACTTCGAGCAGTGGTTGCAAGAAGAAAATGCCAAGCTGTCCGAAATTCTCGCCCGGAAACCATCCAGTGGTGAAGAACTTAAAGCAAGGCGCAGCAAGTTAAAGGTTTGCTCCACTCCACGATGCTGCATTAATTTCGCATTACTGTATGGTGTGCTTGCATGTGTGCTTGAGAAGACGCCCCAGTCTGGTCTGTTGCAACGGGTTAGGGACATAGGAAGCTGCCTTATGACAAGCCACAGCGTTGGTCCACCAAGCTCAGCATTGACTGCACTGATCAGACTGTAAGCTGCTGTCCAGGTTTGCAGGCAAAAGCATCTCCCAGCCCTCCCTAAAGATGCCAAGAATTGGACCAGGGACCACAAACTGGTCCAGTTTGTGCTCTACCGCTGAGCTGTGATCCTGTCCCCAATTTCCCCAGAGAAGTCTTTCCACATCTTTCAGACTAGCATAGTTTTAAAAGTAGTTCCGAGCGGGGTTGTAGAGTTGGAAGGGAACCCAAAGGGCATCTAGCCCAGTGCTAAAGAATCCTTGATGGAAGGCCACCTGGCCTGTGTTTAAAAACATCCAATGAAGGTGAGGCCACTAGAATCTCCTTTCTTATAGCTTGAAGCCATTGGTTCAGGTCCTCTGCTCTGGAGCAGGAGAAAACAAGCTTGCTCCTTCTTCCATGTGACAGCCCTTGAGATATTTGAAGATGGCTGTCATATATCCTCTCAGTCTTCCAGGCTAAATATGCCCAGCTCCTGCAACCATTCCTCATAAGGCTTGGTTTCTAGGCCATAGATCACCTCTGTCACCCTCCTCTGCACATGTCCCAGCTTGTCAATACAGTCGTACCTCAAAATTCGAACACAATCCGTTCCAAAAAGTTCCATTCGACTTCTGAAATATTTGACTTCCAAAGCGCAGCTTCTGATTAGCTGCAGGAATCCCCCGTCGGATGTTTGGCTCATAAACGAACGTTCGAAAACAGGAACATTCGACTACCAAGGCGTTTGGGACCCGAGGTACAACTGTATCCTTGTCTTAGCTGGTGTTTTTTTCATTTACTTCTTCCTTGTAACAACCCTTAAGATATTTGAATATCTAAGATATCTCCTCTTTAGCCTCCCCCTTATCCAGGCTAAACATATCCAACTCTGTCAACCTTTCCTTCTAAAGCTTGGTTTCCAGACCCTTGGAAGAAATATATAAATATAGTTAATATATATTATGAAATATATAGATATAAAACCATGTAAAATAAAACCAGGCAGCTACACGGGAATAAAAAAATGGGAAGCATCACCGCTTTGTGATCCGCCTTCCCCTTTGGAAATATTTGTGAAATGCCCCCTAATTACTGTATATGTAATGGGAAAAGGCAGTGTGTTCTCTCTTCACTGCTACCACCTCAATCGTTTGCACAACAAAACGGTGCTTTATCTCCCCACTTTCCCTTCCAGGAGCTTCAGTCTCGTGTTCCTGAGGGTCAGCAACATTTTGAAGATCTCCTGCGCCTTCGGCCGATTGTTAAGAACTCCGATGATCTGGAGGAACTGCGCTACAGATGGATGCTCTACAAGTCGAAACTGAACGATTCCGGCAACTCCTTGGTAGGCCTTGTGATCTGAGGATAGGTGGATCGGGGATCTTTTACATTACACACTGGGGAGCCAGTGTGGTGTAGTGGTTAAGAGCGGTGGACTCGTAATCTGGTGAACTGGGTTCGCTTCCCCGCTCCTCCACATGCAGCTGCTGGGTGACCTTGGGCTAGTCACACTTCTTTGAAGTCTCTCAGCCCCACTCACCTCACAGAGTGTTTGTTGTGGGGGGAAGAGAAAGGAGATTGTTAGCCACTTTGGGACTCCGTAGGGTAATCATAAAGCAGGATATCATATCCAAACTCTTCTTCTTCTTACCCCGTTTAGAATAGGGGTGTTAGGCTTGCACTGTTCCCCTTCTACTCAGAGGAGCCATATTGTGCATGGTCATAAACAAAGAAAAGATGCACAGTTATACTTGGATAGGAAATGGGTATATCGAAGTCTGACAGCCAGATTCACATGTTTCGTGGATTTTTATTATTATTATTATTTGGAGCAATTGTACTCTGCAGCCAAAAAGGCTTCCAATCTAAAAGCAAAAAGAAACCAGGACGAACAGGGGAAAGGAAATGGAGAGGGAAGAGTGGAAAACAAAACTCAGGCACCAATTCTGAGACAGTTTTTCTTCTAATGACCAGCTGGCACAGTTCAGGGCAGCAGGTGCCTGGTACAGCTGGCCTTTTGAGAAAGCTGATGGGCTGAGCCCTGCTTCCCATCTCAGATGGAATGACTGCCCAAGTGACGGTGGAAGGAGAGGAGGCTTGATGGAACCAGTCTGAAATGTGGAATAAAATAGGGTACTAAAAGGAATCTATGATTATCCTGTGTCCCATGCTGTTGGTACCCATCAGTTCAATGCATTAGGTGGGGGAAGATGTTCTTGGGTTTTTTTGTTTGTTTGTAGTTGTGCCGTGGCAAAATTCTAAGTACTTGAAACTGACACTATGAACCTGAGTCTTTATAGGTGGATGCATGCGTTACTAGCTCCATCAAAAGCAGCACCATCTTCATTTTCTTCCACTGCAGGGTGGGGATACTCAGCTCTGGTGGCCAAATGCAGCCTTCTATGCCCCTCTCCCTGGCCCTCAAAACTGTCCCCAGCCCAGGCCACACCCACTCCCCAGGTCAACATTCCTCGCCGGCCCCATTTTACACCCTTGA